GTCCAGATGAACAGAATCAACTTTTGGAGATTTATTTTCCTGGATGATTGAGAATGCATCAAGACACTACACAGTTAGAAAACAGCTTAAGATAATTTAAGCTTTGTGATATGATGTGTTATCCTGCTTGATGCAGTACAATGTGGTCATAATGGAAATGGTCAGCAACAATACTTAACTAGGCTGTGGTGTTTAAATGAGGCTTAGTTGGTACTAAGGGCCCCAAAGTGTGCTAAGAAAATCTCCTCCACATCATTACATCACCATCAACAATCTGAGGCCAGAGGTCAGATGGAGTCATAGTTTCATGTTGTTTATGCCAAATTCTCAACCTTACCATCCATATGTTGCAGCAGAAATCAAGAGAGAACGCAGTCTGGGCATTCTCCTCTAACCTCTGGCATCAACAACGTGTTTTCACAGAGAGAACTGCTCGCTTATTTTTTCTTTTCCACACCATTCTCTGTAAACCCCACAGATGGCTGTGTGGAGAAAATCCCAGGAATTTCCTAAATACTCGGAGCAGCTTCACTCAGAACAACAACCATGTCACATTTAAAGTGACCAAAATAAACTTTGAACTTCAGCTGGTCAACATGGCTAAATGTATTGGTTTGCTGCTATGGGATTGTCTGTCAGCGAGTAATTAAACAGGTGTACCCTAAATCTGTGCTGAGATGATTTCCTTATATGGTCATCTAAATCTGTTTGTGGAAGCTAGGTGAGGAAGTCAAGAAAGTGGACTTTTTTTTACACTTTGGCTCATGTGATGACTCATGTGATCAATAAAGGATCAACAACCACCTCCAAAGGGGAGAACTCCTATTAGGGAGGGAAAAGCTACAACGGTGTCTTGTATGAGAAAATTTCATCTTGAAATGGCAAATAACTGAAAAACATCATTAGGGAAAATGTACAGAAATGGGAACAACTTGGCTATTCATACAAATTAGAAGGAAAAATACACCTTTGGACTAGTTAAAAAGTGATATTTTGTCATTTTCAGTGTGTAAGCTTCTCATATGAGATTGTGATTTTAAATCTTTTCCAGTTTTTCAAGATTTTGTGAGCACAATTTTTTCTCCAATCACTTTGAAATAATTACCAACTAGCTGCTAATTTAACTGGTGATATCAGAATGCAACCAATCGATTACTGCATGACACTAAACCATTTATCCTAGGAAAAATTCCAATGACCCAGCCAAACAAGACCCATAAAATTAACAGCTTTAAGTCCCTCAAAGTGTATTTTGGCTTTGAGAAACAAACATCGCCGTAACAGTGTTGTTACTGTGCTCCCTGACAGTTGAAAGAGAGCCTCCCTCTCACCAGCAGCTTTGGTGGGAGCTGCATCCTCTCCCTCCTCTCCCTTCAAGTAGTCCTCATCCTCCTCCCCTTCACAAGGGTCTTCCAAGGGAGGGTAGACACCTAGTTTCTGCATATGCGCTTCAGCCATCTTCTGCACAGCTACACACAGGTAAACACACACAGGGACAGCCACACAAACACATGGACACAGACACAGGGATAGAGGGATATGTTGTTTTGGTTTCACCACACTTCAACTCTGTCAGTTTTTGTCAAGCCTCACAGGGGTTTTTGAAGGCATGCCAGGCAGGCAGAAGGCCAGTTATACACATGCACTGACAGACAGGCAGACAGGCAGGCAGGCATCTACAAAACGGTATCCCGCACTGATTTTTACAGTAGAGCTTCCGCTGTTGTTTTCTAGCTCTCCTCTCACCCTGTTTTCCCATCTGTTTATTTGCACCCTACTCGACTGCCCACCCTTCCCGGCGCTATCTTTTGGCAATACTGACTCATCCTCTTCTCTCTCTCTGTTCACTCTCTTTAGTGATATTATCTCAGCCACTCTCTCGCTTCCTCTAGGTCACCTTGGCTTCTCTCTCTATCATTTTTTCACACCCTCACTTACACATTGCGGCAGCAGCACTCATGCAGGTCACTTTTTTAGCTTGAGATAGGTTATGCAACTAGAAATAATAGAGTTAGTTCTCTCTTTCACTCTGCGTCTGAGCTGATAAAGGGCAGATTTGAGATGCAGGACAAGGCTTCCTGGCTCATTATATCATCACTCGACATGTGGCAGCGCACGCCCACAAATCCAAAGTAAATGAAACCCCACCGACAAACTTACCTTCTTTATTGACCACATGCAACAAAGACACAATAGAAAAATGCACGTCTGGGTTCATGTATGCATTTTAATCACACCTATATGTGTGTGTGTTCGTGTGCGCCACAGCTGTATACACAACTGACTGTAATCCTGGATGATCCAGACTTTCCTAGACTCTCACTCAGTGTCTCACAGCTGTCACACTCTAATCTCTCCCTTTCTCCCGTTCTCTTTTGGTCACACACAGATATATGGACCCTGCTGCTGAGTGTAATATAAGGGCAGAAGCAAACAGAAACACAACTATGCATATCACACACGCGCATGCAGTGAAAAAAAAAAGAAACCCCTTTATTGCATATCCACCCATCTGTCACATGCACCTTTATAAGGCGTTAGAACGCAAGTAAGAAATGCTTGCAGGGAAGCGCGGTAAAACAAAGAAAGGATTTAAACACAAGGATGAATCACAACACACACAACCACCGCCTGTAACACAAATGCTCGTACCAACCTTTGAGTGATGGCGGCTGATACACATTTGGATTAACTCGTTTTGGTTTGAGGACTCCGTTCTCTCCTACAACCCACTGTGAAGAGAAAGAGCGAGCCACTAATCATGACATTCTTCGTCAGCCTGTCCTCAAAGCATCGGCACCTCGGAAGTTTTATTCACTATATTTATTTTATTACATAATTTAAAATTTCAGTTAAAACACCATCTTCCTCATTGAGATCTAAAGTCATAACATGCATGCAAAATATCTCCTACATGACTGATGCAATCTTTTTTTAGTTCTTGTGGTAACTCTGGAGGCCTCTCCTTAGTTATTCAAGTTGTTTTGGGGGAATTTTGGCTTCCAAACACGCCAGAAGCTGATTTGAAGTTTGTAGGTACACACTGGAGAGCAATGACAAACTGTTCCTCTTCATTAGAAGAAACATAACCATGAGGAAAACGGGGGAAAAGAATGCAAATTTAAAATTGCCTTGTTCCAAAACATTACGAATATGCAGTTTTTGATGCAAACATTAACATCTCTAAACCCAAGGTGTCATGTTTTGTCATGATTGTGCCTGCTTATGTTATCTTACATTGGCTAGGCATGCAGTATAATTGTTGGATGTCCAGTTTGCAACTCAGTAATGTCAGCACTACATGCTACTACATGCTGGCTTTCCCATGTTCCCTTAACTCTTCGTGCCATGCTTAATCTTCAGGATCTTCACTAGAATTTGAAAAGTGTTATCGTCAAACCTGCTTAACCTGAATTTTACTCAAGCTTTCAGCCTCATCTCACCAACATCAAGTAAACAAGATATTTTTTAACCTTGGTGCTCAAATAGTTTCAAAATTTCAAGGTGAGTTCGAACTGTGGCTAAACACAAACTCAACACGCAGGATTCAATGTGCGTGGAGTCATTAAGGAAAATGGATTATTATGTTGTTAGACAGTGAAATAATGGCATGAAGTAAATTATATGTTGTAGGTAAAGTAGTTACGTGGTTAATAGGATTGAAATCTAATGTAGGAGGATGGATGAGAGCACAAAGACACTTATATAAAAAAGTGTTTTGTCTTCACCTTTACCTGATGGGTGGACTGATCATCCTCAGGAGATGATTGGTCGGCTACTCTGAACAGTGTGGCGGGTGTTGGCCTCCGGCGTCGGATCTGCAAACAAACAACACAAATGGCAGCCATAAATAAATGAATAACAAAACTGACTAACACTATATTATTAATAATTTTCAGCACAAAGCCATATCAATCACACGGATCCCTATGTTGACAGTTTATGCTGGTGAAGGGCATTGCTGGGCCCTCAAGGACTTCATTAGTCCTACCTCAGATTTATTTGACAGGTCAGCAGCCAACAGTGACTTTCAGTGTTCAGTACTGGTCACGTCAGAGCACACGCAACAGTCAGGTGCAATAGAAGAATAATTTAGAAACCTCGGATTTTAAAGACAGAGTAAACAAAGAGAATTCTGTGGTGTGAAACAGAAGAAAATTATTCTTTTGACAAAGGATTTATTTGAAATGAATGTTCTCCTCACATTTACACAAACATGTTTTGCCACCTGTGTGCACCAAACATGCAAATATGAAGTCTCCCAAATAGAGAGTCCATAGAAAAGGGATTAAATGAACCACAGCAATCAGCCGAGACACTCCCATCCACTCGCAACTTTTCCACCCCGAATGACTGCTTCTTGGAGGCCTAATTCAGGTAGCTGACAGCCTAAAAGCAGAACGGGGCCAGACAAAGTGTAGGTCTGAGCTACACCTCTATAGCACGAGCCACTGTATACAGCAAACTCTCTGTTCCTGGGAACAAATGCACAGCTGTGCCTACAGCTCCACAGTATCATGGCCTGTCTGTGGAAATTCACTCACCAGAAGTGCTCATTGTGGCTCATTGACCCAGTGCACAAAACACAGGGCCCTGCATGGATACAGAGACAAAAGTGCATTTAGCTGCATTTCATCAAAACACTAGTACTATAAATACTGCAAGTGTACTAATGGAGGGTCTTTTTCACTAGTTGGCAGTTACAGTTGTCAGTCAGTTAGTATATATGAAGCAAATATCGATGGAAAATTTGATACTGAGCTCCTGGAATTCTGGTGCACATAATTGGACAACTTCTAAAACTATTTTTAAGAAGATTTAATCAAAAAAAATAACCAGAATTTTTGATTTGTCTTGAAAGAAATGATTAATTTCCACCTAGACAGGCTTGTGTCTGTGCATGTTTTCCTACTCTTTTTCAGCACAAAACTTGGCAATGACTGAAGTAAATTTATAATGAAGTTCACATTCACAGTCTCTGTTTCCTATGTTGGAACAGACTGTAAACCTTTAAGAAGCAAACAGGAAGTGACTGTTTGATAATCAAATGATAAGTTTGGGGTGGAGTATTACTTTTCAGAGTATTTTTCCCTTGTTAAGCAGAACGTGTTGGGGCCTTCATAGAGAAAATGTACGTGCACAGCTCAGATCTTTGGCTCACATTTTCTACAAATCTATACAATTCCCAAATGCATAAAATAAAATGGAAAAACATAAATGGAAAAATGTTAAAAATATATAAAACACATTTTAAAAAGGTAAAAGCAGTGGTATTAGTCAGGCAAATCAGGTGCTGAAAGGTGTCCTCTGCGGAGCAAGCCAACCTTGCCCATGACATGAACCTATGTGCTGCTGTTTACTATCACATAACATCGCAGGAATATAGTTAAGTAGTCTGGCTCCATATGGAGAGTTGTGTTTGTTTCCCTTCTGTCGTGTGCGTCATCACAACGAGGCGCATGTTGCCAAAGCAGAGGCTTCCACGGCCCACGTGGTGGAAATCTGCCTCTGTCAAATTCAAAGACATGGAGTAATCAAGCATGGATTTCACCCTTATTTATATCACCAGACACACATTTTAATCTCATCACGCAACTTCAGGCTTTCCTGCTTCCCCTGGATCTCTCACACTATCTGTCTTTCTCTCATTCTCCTCTCATTTCCTCCTTGCTCGATCCGTTGCTTCCTCTATCCTGTTTACTTCCACATCCATCCTGATCTTCATTCCTTGACAGTGACATTAACCTCATCCGCTGTTTGCCTCTCCTTTTCAACACCAGTCTGTCATAACCAAACTCATGTTTGTGTGTTTTTGTTTGCTGGTTTGTCAACCGTTTCCTTTTTTGTCATTAGATGTGTAAGAGGAAAACATCCACAGAGCATCCTTTGACCCCCACTTCCGCTTTCCCTGTGTCTCCCCTGGTTAGGTGTGGAGGCCTGGGGCTTCACGTTGATAAGAACCCTGCTGGCTCTGCCTGCATGACACCTGCTAACTGCCTTGCAGGGCAGCCTGAGGTGCTTCAAACCGAGAGCCACAAGAGACAGAGAGCAAATACCAGATGTTGACATGACCAAGCCTGTGCCCGAGTCCTGGGGACGTAAGCGAGGACTGTATTCAAGTCCAGCAGATTATTGGTATGCTTGTGTATTTGTGTGATACATTTATTAGATTATACTGAGATCGGAGGGCCAGCAGGAAGGTATACGGATGGTTCTGCAAACAGATTCTTTGTTATTAACTGTAATTACTTGATTATTCAATTAGCTGCTTGTTAATTTTTGACTGCCATATCAATCTTTATACAAAAATACCAACAGAATAAAAAAGGATTGGAAACTAGATCATTAGTAGTGGATATTTTCAGATTTTCTGTTTTTTAAGACATTTTTAAAGTAAGCCATTAGAATATCTTGGGAGACTGCAATGGATGTTTCCACTACTTTGTTATATTTTTTTAGTTCCCACGCCTGTTTTTTGGTTTCTTTACTGTGATGTGAGCTTATTTTTACAAAAGAGAAAGGCCAAGCCAAAGAGAAAGGTGTATTATATTATTATATTTTCTAAACTCCAGATCAGGATCCCCAA